ATTGTCGAGTCTCCTACACGGCCAATGACTCGACCGATACCAGTAACCTTCAGAGATGTATTACCAATACCGAAGACACGGTTGTTGATTGGTCGACCGTCAACAAGACATGAAGCATCACCAGTCATATGATGAGAAGCACCACCATCCAACAACCAATTAGAAGATTCGTTTCGACTAATAGTGGCAGCCCCTGTTACTTGGATGATACCAGGGAATGGTCTAGATGTTCCAATACATTCCGATTTACGATGTCCAGACTTCCAACATTGGACGCATACGGCTACATTTTTATGTCCAATATTGGGGTCCTTGGCCTGATCAGAAAACCCTGGGAAGGCCCTAACAGCATTTTCACATCCACTCCTAGAGCTGCTATGGCCCATATCCCAACATCTAAAGCATACTAAAGTTGCGGGCGACTTGAAGGTGCGAGTATTACGATTCGTATCTGGCTTCTTATAAACATTGATGTTATCTGAGGTGCGACTATTGTTGGCAGCCATTTGAGCATTATAGGCTAAAGTCGTTTCTTTGGCATCATGAAGTGTCTTCAAGTTCTCCATCTGAGCTCTTGAACCTCATCAAGGCTAATGGTTGTAACGTCACCGGAGAGTAGGAGTTGACGTAATACACCATAGACGGGGGTATCTAAGACCTTCAACAAGAGAAGGTTGCTCATTACTTTGGTGAATTGAGCTCGAATAGTGATTCCTTTAGCATCACATATATCATCGATATCCTTTTGAATTTTCTTTATGTTGGAGATGATGGAAGTAGGAGTATCGGAAGGAAGAGTACTAAAGTTGGTGTGCTCTTCCCATTTGACTACTAGATTGACTGCAGTTGATCCACCATATTGAGTCGTCAGATGTTGCATCATAGCATAGGCCGACCAAGTGATAGGAAGTTGAGATGAGATAGATTGGGCTACATGCTGGCGGATTATGAATGCAGCCTTGACACCATTCTGTCGGTGTGTTTCTCTACGAGTTGCGAGTGAAGTCTCGGCTTCTAAGGCAATAACTTCAGGAGCAGGGACAGCAGC